CACACACACACACACACACACATGCGCTCACACACACACACACACCCTGAGAGCCTCCCTGTCTCCTGTCCCACTCTCCCTTCATGTCTCCCCCTTTTGGGGCCTCTCCAGCTCAGAGGCCAAGAAGCTGGGCAGACTGTCCCACGCCCCACCCCCACCCCCTCTGAGGTGACAATTGGACAGGGATGCAGCTGGCCCGGCCCAGCAGCCTCTCCATTAACACTGCCATTACCCACTTGAGGTTTCTCCAGAACTCAGCCACGGTTACACAAGCATCCCAGGGGTCACATGACCTCAATCCGGCCCTGCCGGCTTTTGCGGCCTGGATTCCTGATGGGCCAAAGTTAGCCCCGGCCGACTCTTCTCGTCCGGGAAATGAAAGGGCTGGCAAGCAGGTTGTGTCTTGCGTGCCAGTTCTAATTGCTTGGTAGCGGCCTGCCCAGTGTGCTTTGTTTAAAAAAAAAAAAAAAAGAAAAGAAAAAAAAAAGAAAGAAATTAGCAGTTCTCAGGACAATAACACTTGGATGGATTAGTGATGTCTGCCGGGGACACAGGAAACTAACTGGTGGCATGTGTACCTCCTAAGTCCCACCTTGGGGAATACATTATTCTGAAGCTCTCAGATGTGGGATTCTAAGCTCCCTGGGGCGGTTGGGTGGTTCCTTTTCCTTTCAGTCAGTCCAAGGGTGGGGGCGGGGCAGATTCTTGGGTTCTGAGAGAGAAGCCGCTCTGCTCGCCTTGGCCTGAGCCCTGGGACACCACCTAGTGGCCAGGCGTGGTGGCACCGGGGCTGGGCCCGGATGGATCTTGGACCAGATACAGCGCGTCCCTCTCCAGGCTGTGATCAAAGCAGTCACAGATGGATCACCCGATCCTATCTGTCCCTTGCCCCTATCCCTGGGGGGTTTTCAGAGAGGGAGGCCAGGGGTGTGTAGGGACAGAGCTGGCCTGGGGCAGTCCCACCCACTTTCAGAAGAGAAAGGGTTGGGCAGGGAAGTGCTGTCAATGGAGACCCCTGGCCTTCCAGGCCCCCCCTCTTGTGACCCCCCCCCCTAAACTTTCAGAGTGCTGGTCCTTAGGGCGGGGAGGGGGGGGCAGTGGAATGTCAAGTCAAACCTTGAAGGGAGTCGACTCCTGCCCCCTGGAGCCTACGCTGGGTTAGAGGAGGGACCAGCCTGACACCAGCCTGGCTGCCACCCTCAGGCTGGGCGACGATGGCTCATGGCACCTTAACCATGTCACTGGACTGCCTGGCTTCAGTGGCTTGGTCTGTGACCGGGAGGGAAGGGGAGGGGAAAGAGGGGAGATGGATAGTCTGGCATGCCCCTGTGTGAATGGTTTCTTGTGAGGACTGAAGGAGAACACACAGGGGAAAGGGCTTTGGAAGTGAAAAAGCCTCCACCCTCCATAACCATGAGCCCCAGGAGGAAGGGAAGGGAGGACGGTCTAGTTGTTGTGCTCCTGAGTCTCTCCTTCCCTTCTTGTCCACCAAGCAAATGCCCATGGGCAGGCAGGGCCAGGCACATCACTGGGGATGCCACAGTGAATAAAGCAATGACCTTGCCACTCACGGGGGAAGATGGTCAGTGACACTTAAGTAGGAAATCTCTCCGGGGATCTGCTTCGAGGAGGGTGAAGGGTTAGGGAGCACTGGCAGATGGGGTAGGTAGTACGGACAAGGTGATGCTTGAGTGCGGGCCAGAGGGGAGGGAGGGACGCAGCCATGTAGATAGCTGTGAGAAGGATGTAGCAGACGGTGAGAAGAGAAAGTGCAGAGGCTCCTGGATGGGAGATGTTGGTGGCCAGAGTGAGGGAGGAGAAGGGAGGAAGTGAGGCTGTGTGTGTGTGTGTGTGTGTGTGTGTGTGTGTGTATGTATGGTTTGATGAGAAGTTGGAGAGGTGATGCAGGCATGTGCACACCCATGGGCCACGATAAGGCCCATTTGAGAACATGAGGACCCACTGGGCTTGAGGCAGAGGAATGACATGAGGGGAGGTAGGGAGACAGACCAGGGATGGTAGCAGTGAAGGTGCTGGGGGTGGGCTGGGGTGGGGTGGATGCTGGGATCGTTTTGAATACAGGGAACACCGAATTTGCTGCAGTTGGTGTGGAGTAGAAGAGAATGTGAGCACTCAAGTGTTTGGCCTGAGCCACGTGGAGTTGCCATTAACAGAGATGGAGAAGGTGAGGAGCAGCAGGCTGCGGTTGGGAGAAACCGCAAAGGCGGATGGCCTGTTAGGTTGGAGCTGCTGTTGGACATCCACATGGAGGCAGTGGGTGGGTGGGCAAGGGTCGAGTGAAGGGTGTGTTCCAGGAGACCACAGGGCGAGGGGATGTAGGGGCCAGTATCCAGCATGAGGATGGAATGGTAAAGCCGCGGACTGGATAAGATCACTCAGGGTGTGAGTGTAGTCCAGGAAAAGGGCTCAGGCCTGAGGTTGAGGCCACGCCAACCTGTCTCATTGGGTGCTGACTATGCTCCAGGCCCCTTATGAGTACTATCACAACACTCCTGCCCGGTGGGTATTATCCCTATTTTTGACATAATCTTATTAATCCTAGAATGGGACCCTCGGACTCTGGCTCCTGGGCTCTCCCGCGCCCCTCTGTGGACCCTCCCTGGCCTTCCAGGGGACTGTCTGGGATGATGCTGGGCAAGGTCAAGAGAACAACACTGGGGCAGCTTGCCTGCGTCTCTGGGCCAGGAGGGAGTGACTCAGGCCTTGGCTGTCTGCTCAGGCTTGGAGGGAAGGCTGGCCGTTTGCCACCCCCTGGCAGGCCTGGACTCCTTCACTGGGAAGTGAAAGGCCTGGCTCCCTGGGACCTGGGGGAGGACAGGTGTGTGATGTCTGCTTTCCGATCCCCAGGTCACCAACAGCGACGATTCAGGGCGTCTTCGAGTCAGCCTTCAAGGCGTCTAACGGGCTCAGCGGGTTTGGTTCGCTTCCTCCTTCAGAAGGCGGGCAGGGCTGTCTGTTGCCCTGCCCGTGCCCAGAAGCTGGGGTTCAGGGAGGTGAAGTGGTTTCCCCAAGGTCACAGAGCCAGCTTTGGGGCACATCCAGCAGACGCCCCTCCTGCCCTCCCGTCCCCACTTCCTTCTGGGTCACATTTCCTGCGCTGGAATGTCAGCTGGGCTGTGCCCAGTCCCTGAGCCCGGGGCACACATGGCTGCATTGCCGAGGCTCCTTGGCGCTCAGCCCTGCGAGTCTGACATGGCAGTTTTGGTTCTTAGGTAGCAGGTTCCTACTGTTGGCCCCTCCGTGTCCTGGCTGTGTGACTCTGCCCCTGCCACTGAACTTCTCTGAACTGGTTTCCACCGCTATCAAAAGGAGAGATGATAACATCTGTCTCTGGCGTTGCAATCTAGATGCACTGTGAAGCCAGGCTGGAGTGGCTCAGCGATTGAGCGTCGACCTCTCAACTAGGAGGTCACGGTTCACTTCCGATCAGGGCACATGTCTGATTGTGGGCTTGATCCCCAGTGTGGGGCATGCAGGAGGCAGCCGATCAATGATTTCTCTCTCATCATTTGATGCTTCTCTTTCTCTCCTCTTTGAAATCAATAAAAATACGTGTGTGTTTTTTTTAAAAAAAAAAAAAGATTAAATGTGAAAGTGCCTGGCACAGCTCATACACCTCAATCTGCCTTAATTCTCTTATGTGTTTTAAATTGCTTTTCATTTGAGCCGTGCTGGTTGCAAAGGCAGCTTGGGACAGATCGATGACTGTGACCCTGAGGGCCGTCCTTCTCTCTGCTCCCAGTCATGACAGCCACACCTCAGCCCGGCCTCAGACCGCACTGAGTGTAGTGAGAGGGGGCGGAGGACAGTCCTCTGAGAGACGGGGGCCTTCTGCCTGACCGGGTGCTAACGATAGGCAGCCTGGCTTGGGAGTCCCTGCAGAGTCCTGTGAAAATGGCATTTCTGTACATCAGCTCCTTCCCCCTGCATTTCCCAGGACCGTTTCTGAGCCCCTCTCTCCTCATGCGCAGAGCACCCTTTGATGGGAAAGTCCGGGCTTTGCCACGACTGGCTCTGCGTCCTTGGGCACCTCCCTCCTAGTCTTGGACCTCATCTCTCCATCTGAGTGATAGAGCAGGGTGTGGGGCTGGCTTAGAGTGGTCAGCCTTTTATATGGCATGGCACACACACACACACACACACACACAATACTTTTTCAAGGCTTTGCACCTGGGTTAACGGAAGAGGCTTCTTGACCTGTCGTGTCTCCAGCTGCCCAGGCCAGCTAGACATCCCCTGGCGCTCTGAGGACCAGTATCTCCTTCTAGAGGGAATTCCAGGGGTTGAAATGGAATAAATCCAAATATTGGGGAAGGATCCTTTAGAACCAGACGTCCCGCTTTTGGTGGGACAGTTTCGATTTTTAACAATTTGTCCCGTGTCCTGCGACGTTTTAAAAAAAGTCCAAAAGATTTAAAAGAATCTTTCCAAAAATCGGGACTTTTTTTTTTTTAAACGCCGCGGGACACGGGACAAATTGTTAAAAATCGGAACTGTCCCGCCAAAAGCGGGACGTCTGGTCACCTTACCTTAGAATACCCCGCCCCAGCTACTCTGGGTGGCAGCGTGGCCAGTGTGCGGACTGATCCTGCTTCTTCCTTAGCTTTCTGGGGCAGTGGCGGCAGCAGTCACAGAGCTAACCGTGCTGCAGGCACCGGGCTGAGGATTGCCTTATTGAATTCTCATTGAAGCCCCTCTACCTTCTCAGTGTCTATGCCTCAGCTTTCCCGTCTCCAAAATGGGGATACCAGCGCCTGCCTCAGTGGTGTCTTGAGTTGGGCCACACAGAATACAGGATGGTGCCGGGCGTAGAGTAAGCCCTTGCCCTCTAGGACAGCCCTCCCGTGTCAGTGAAGAGCTGGGGCAGCTGGAGAAAGCAGAAGGAAGCAGTTCTCCGGTGGGCGTGGCAGGGTCTCCCTAACCCCCTCGGCTATCAGTTAGTTGCATTCTGCCCTTGACTCTGCCTTCCTCCTTTCCAGGTGGGACGGTCCGTGGAGCCGGCCCAGGATGCTCTGGGGGTGTGGATGACCAGCTGTCGAGCCGCTTCCCACGGCCCAGGTCCGGATGCCGCCGCCCCACGAAGACCACTCCCCGAGGGCCACCGGTGGCTCCGTGCCCTAGCTTCCTGACACGGGGACCCCGCCCGTCCGGCCCCCACCTGGTGGCCCAGCGGCCGGGCAAGGCCAAGGCCAAGGCACGGGAGCAGCTCCCCGAGCCCGCCCAGCGCGCGAGACGGCGCAGGGACCTGGGGAGAAGGGCTTGGCGCCGGCGGGCAGCACCTTCGCCCAAAGGCTGGGCAAGATGACCAGCCTGTTCCGCCGGAGCAGCAGCGGCGGTGGCGGTGGCGGTGGAGGAGGAGGCGGAGGCGGAGGCGGAGGCGGAGGTGGCAGCGGCGGGGGCGGCTCCGCTGGGGCGCGTGGGGCCGGGGGCAGCGCCGCGCCCACCTCCCAGGAGCTCAACAACAGCCGGCCCGCCCGCCAGGTGCGCCGCCTGGAGTTCAACCAGGCCATGGACGACTTCAAGACCATGTTCCCCAACATGGACTACGACATCATCGAGTGCGTGCTGCGCGCCAACAGCGGCGCCGTGGACGCCACCATCGACCAGCTGCTGCAGATGAACCTGGAGGGCGGCCCCGGCGGCGGCGATGAGGACAGCTCGGACTCGGAGGACAGCATTCCCCCGGAGGTAGGGGCGCAGGGCCTGGTACTGCACCAGGAGCTCCAGCGCTGTTCGAACCTTAGGAGACTTGGGTTATACCCCTGCCGAGCAGCCTTAGTTTTTCCTAGGGAAACGGTGCCCAAGTCTGTCAGCGGCCTTGTTTGTTGGGCAGAAATCCTGCAGACATTCAACGAGCTCCGAGCACCTACTCAGTGGTATGTCAGGCATGGAACTAGACTAGGGGTCATCAGAATCAAGGAGCTTAAAAATGCAGACACCTAGGCCCCATCCAACACTGAGAATGCCAATCCAAGGCGGGAGCCCTCTAGTCTGTATTTTTTACCCCCAGGAAATTCTACTCTTGAACCTCTGGGTCTCCGCCTTGATCAGGTCTAAGATTCTGCCCTCATAGGGTTCACGGCCCAGGGGAAAACAGGGACAAGGATCAGGCAAGGGCAGCTCAGGGTGATGAGAGCTGTGGTGGGAGAAACAGAAGCAGGACGGGAGGATGGTTTCCCGGAGGAGGGGATGGCGAAGCTGAGCCCCAAAAGAAGAGTCAGGAAGGAGGGCAGAGGGAGCAGCTGGGACAAAAGCTCCGAGGTGAAACAGAGCATGAGTCGCTGGGGAACTGACAGCCGGGCCATCTGTCAGGATCCTTGAATGCGTGGAGACCAGGAGGTGAGGAGGCCTTACCTGGAGAAGGTGGGGCTGTCCCCCTAGAGCACGGGGACCCACGGAAGGGGGGTGACATCAGATGCGATGGAGGCAGTGGTGAGCGACAGATACCCAAACCCTTCTCTCCTCACTCTTCACACTTTGGACGGGGGAGATGCCACCAACCCACGTGCTGGGCATGGCCGGTCTCCCTGGCCCCTCCAAGAGCTCCGTGTACCTTTGGTCCCCCAGTCGCCACGAGACCTGCAGTGCTGGGTGCAGAACGGGCACAGAGTCTCTCAGAGAGAGCGTCTCTGCCAGCAGGGGCAGGTGGGACACGCAGCCACAGACCCAGCGGATGGGACTTAACACTGCTCTTCCTTGAGTCGCAGCCTGTGCCAGGCACCATCCTTGTGCTTTAGATGTCTCTTCTCTCCTAGTCTTCGCAGGCTTTGTGAGGGGGCGTTATCATTGCCCCCGTTTACAGCGAGAAAACCTAGACCCAGATATGGCCTCAGAGTCCAACTCAACACAGCCCTGCAGGCAGCGGCTATCCATCCCTCAGTCACCCTGCAGGGCCAAGCCCTCTAGCCCTGCCTCCCTCACGGCTGCTGCCGGGGCTTTCTCTCCCCAGGCAGAGGACAAGCTCTGTGGCAATGACATCTGGCTCATCCTCGTGTTTCCTCTCGCTCCGGGACAGTCCTGGCACAGAGCAGGCACTGAGGGAATGTTGTTGAGTGAGTAAATGGTGCTGCTGTCTGTACCCAGTTTTCTTTAGTCTCTTTTCCCCTGGAGGCCCCTCCTTTGACCTGCCTGGATTAGCAAGAAGAGGGAGGATTAGAAAATAGAGATTTTCTTTGTGCAAAAGAGGGGTGAGTGCATGTATGACTGCGAGTGTGTGTGTGTGTGTGTGCATGTGCACACGTGTTTACAGATACACCCTTTGAGCGTGAGCTGGAAGGAAGGTTCTGTGTGGACTCTGACCCTGTAATCTTGTTTGCTCTGACGGCCTGGCATGTGGGATGCTGTTTCCTCCTTTGTTCACGGCACTCAGCCCGGAGAGCCTCTGCACGGCTTCAGCGTCCCCTACAGAGGCCTGCACCGCGTGTGCTTCTGCTTTTCTAAGACCCGTGCTTTCTGGATTGGGCCCCTTCTCAGCACCCCTCCTGGGCTGTTTCCCCAACCCCCCACGTCTGGAGCTCGGCCGAGGGGCACCGGCCGGCGGGCCGTTCCTGAGCCAGCGGAAAGCGCTTCGGAAAATTTATGAGCAGCAGCTGGAATGACAATAACCGCTGACTGGAAAAAGCCCCCTCCCTGAGGGCTGAGGGATGGTGGGCTGGCCGGAGGGGGACCCTTGCCGCAGAGAAACATCTTCTGTCAGATGAATGGCCAGACCCTGACCCTTAGAGCACCTGGCAGGCATCCATCACCCACCCTGAATTCGGTCAGGAGGCCGCAGAGCCGAAAGCTTCCACACCTTCAGAGTCAGGAGAACAATCTCATTGTGGCTGGGAGGCTGGGGGAGGGAGGCCGGCGGGGCAGGGGGGGAAGGAGAGGGAGGGGGGGAACGGGGAGGAGGGTAATGGGGTAGGAACATGGCTGGGGTTACTCTCCCCGGAGACGGGGGATCAGTCTTTCCGGAGCGTGCCTGGCCCACTGCCTGCCTCCTTGGCGTTTCCTCGTTCTGCTCCAAGAGCCTCTGATAAACGTCTGGTTCTCGCAGCCCCAGGAGGCTGTACCGGGGCACGGGAGAGGCTGAGAAATGGGGGGGGTCCTCCTGGTGCCGTTGTGGGTGCCTGATCTCCCTGAATCTGGGGAGCCAACTCCTACGCCAGTTATGGGAAACCCCAAGTAGCTTCCCTCAGGGAACGATTCCCACTGAGCTCTCCCTTCCTCATCCCTCTCTCACTCAGACCAGCCTCAGGGGGGACAGACCAGACCGGCCACCGAGGGAGGAGCGGCTCAGCCTGGAGCCCTGGCCCTCTGAGCAGGGAGGTGTGGGGAACAGGGGCCGGGGGCCGGGGGCCGGCGGCAGCATGGACTCTGGATGTGCCAGATCCCGGGGCCCCCGCTGCCCCCTGCCAGGTCCCGGGGGCCCGCCCATGCACAGGAATGGAGCTCACAGTGTTCTCTCTCCCTTCTTGTGGAAATTTGGGGTAGCAGCATGAAACGCAGCTACATTCTCCTTTTCTGCAGAAGCATCTGTTTAAATACTTTCCGCCTCAAAGGAAAGAACGTCAGTGCATTCCAGGGCGGGAGGTCTCCTTGGGTCAGGCTGGCTGTGTATGCACAGAGCCTGTGCGTGTGTGTGTGTGTGTGTGTGTGTACGTGTGTACTCATGTGTGCGTGCTCACTCACCACCTGCCCATCTGCCAGGTGTCCCTGTGAGACTGCAGCCCGGCCCGGCCCAGGCTTGCAGAGGCAGGGCAGAGGCAGTTTATCCTATTTCTTTTATATATATATATTTTTAATTGATTTCACAGAGGGAAATAGAAACATCAACGATGAGAGAGAATCATTGATCGGCTGCCTCCTGCTCACCTCCTACTGGGGATCGAGCATGCAACCCAGGCATGTGCCCTGGACCAGAATCAAACCCAGGACCCTTCAGTCCACAGGCCAATGCTCTGAGTCAGTTTAGCAGTGACTTCTGCAAACTCACTTGAGGTTAAGTTGTGGAGCCTGGGGACTCTGGGGCTGACTGACAGGCCCTGAGCCCTTCCCACATTCTTTGTCTCAGAGGAGATGGGACAGAGCTGGGAGGAGAGGACACGGGAGCAGGAGGCGAAGATACAGGCCGGTTGGGGGGTGTGACCTGGGCTCTCCTGGCTGATAGCTGCTCCTGCCCAGACTCCTCTGTGGGCCTGTGAGGAAGGGTCCAGGTCAGGCCATGCAGCAGGAGCCCAGGCTTTTGCTCGCCCCCTGGCCTCTCCTTACCCTTCTCTCTGGCTCCTGCATGAAAACAAGAGTCTAAGAGGGAGAGGCATCTGGGCACACGCCCTACCACTGTCCTCCCTGGGAATCCACCCTGGGGATGCAGGCATCGTGACGGAAGGAGGGACTTTTGCTGCGGAGACCCATGCTCAAGTTGAGGTTCAGTTCTAAAAACACTGGCGTGGCTTTGGCCATGTCACTTAGCCTGGGTCTCAGTTTCCTCATCTATAAAATAGGGTAGCAATCCACATCGATCCTGCCAAGCTGTTTGAGGCTGAGGGGAAATAATGCACGTGGAAGTACTTTGAGAGCGGGTGTAGCTGATGTTAAAGTTGGTTATCAGCCATAGCACACGTCTGGAAGAGTCCATGAAGCGTACGTGTGCGGCTCAGGGACGTCTCACCAGCAGCCGGATCAGGAAACATCCGAGGAACCCGAAAGGCCCCTCGCGCCCCTTTCTGGCCTTCCCCACCCTCCCGGGGGTCACACTGCTCTGACTTCTCTCACGGCGATTTGCTTTGCTTGTTTCTGAACCGCACTTGGGCGGATAATGCCGCTCTGAACATTCTTCTGGGGACATGTGCCTTCTTGTCTGTTGAGTGTGTTGGAATTGTGGGGTCAGGGGCAGCCATGCATGTAGCTTCAGTACATAAAGCCAGACTGGTTTTTGCCAAGTGCCGGTTGTAACAATTTGCATATCCACCAGCAACCCAGAGTTCTCTTACTACACATCCTCGCCCACACCTGATTGTGTGTCAATGTTATTCAAGTTCAAGGAAGAGCTGCTAATATTTCTTCCTTTCTTCCCTCTGATACAGATCTTGGAAAGGACTTTGGAACCTGACAGCTCCGACGAGGAGCCCCCGCCGGTGTACTCCCCGCCGGCTTACCACATGCACATGTTCGACAGGCCTTACCTCCTGGCCCCGCCCACCCCGCCTCCCCGGTGAGAAAGAATCCAGCTTCCGTCCGAGTGCAGGGCGGTGGGGAAGGGACCCGGGGCTGGGACTGAGTACAAACACACTGGGAATCTTGGCTGGACCCCCTCAGCAAGAACAGGCTTGTACTGCAGCTAGGCCCATTTTAGCTATAGATACCAAGAAGAACTTCCGTGAGCAAACGTTCACTGAATTACTGCTCGGGGCTAGGTGCTGTGCCGAACACCGTACGGGACAGTCCCAGCTCAGCCTCTGCTTTCTGAGAGCCCATAGTCAGTGGAGGTGCAGAGCGGGAATGACAAACACGTGGCACATGTGCACTGACATTCCCCCTCTCCCGCCTGTGACAAATCCTCCTGATAGACCACTGTGCTCGTTCCCGCTCGGTGGAGACAGAACCTCAGAATCCTCCTCAGGGCAGTACTCCCAGACGGTCACCAGTATTGATTGATGGGATGACATGTATTTGGCATCCCTGGTCTAGGGATGTTGTGGGGAATTTAAAAAGCAATGGGAGCGAGTAAGTCTCTTTTTCTAGGCTAGTTCAATAGCTGGAGGCAGGGGAGTACCTGCCAGGTCCTTGGAGACTTCTTCCAGGTGAGGGGCTCTGTGGTTTGGAAATTAACCATGAAACTGGCTGTCCGCTGGGTCCCCTGGGTGGCTGAGATGCTTGCTTTTCTGGGCCTCGTGTCGGGAGTGGAGCTTGCTGGAGTCCAGGTGTCTCTTCGTCCTAGAGCTGCTGTTCCTTAGAGTGAGTCAGGCCTGGGGTGGTAAGGGGTGGCGGAAATGATGGGGCAGGGGACGTGACTTGTTCTAGTGGATCTTCTCTTCTGGGCATCTTGGGAGCCTCAGACAGTGGTTGTGGAGAACTGCTATCATACAGGCACGGACAGTAATAACAGCTACCATTTATTGACAAAGCACTGGCGAGCCATCCCATTCAAATCCTCTGACAGCTTCTGAGGTGGGCGCAGCCGGCACCCCCGTTTTACAGATGAGGAGACCGAGCCCAGGAGCGATTTCATAATTTCACCCGAGACTACACAGCTGGGATTGAATCCAGGTCCTTTTGACTCCAAACCCAGGGCTCTGAATTGCTGTGTCCAGTTGCCTCCCCAATGAGAAAATCCTCTGTGATTGAATCTTAGGAAGCCGAGAGAGGCCGAGCAGATTACGGGGGGAGGGTGGGGAGCCGTGTTTGGAGGCAGGGACAGGAGCAAAGCTGGGTTCCTTTTATTCCAAGTGGGAGTAGGAGGCTGCAATGGGGTGGGAGGCAGGGAGTAAGTAGGTAGATTGGGGTGAGACCTTGGCAGGATTTCCAGCCTGGATTGGGGCTAAATGATTTCCCTCTGACTTAAAAAAAATTTATCCCAAGATATTTTTTAAAAATGCTTTAATTTCTATTAGGCAGAGTGGTTCTGCCCATTTTTCAGAAGGGAAAACAGGCCGTAAGAGGCAGGTGTGGATTTCTGGGCCACATCCTCCCGTCCCTGCTCTGGCTGGGTGTTCGGCTGCAGTGGGTGGGGTAGGGCTGGAAGCAGGGGGCAAGGTGACCTTAGCATTAGACCAAAGCTTAGGAGGCCCCGTTCAGACCCTGTGACTTTGAAAAGTCTCTGACCCAGAAATGAAGGCTTTGCTAGGCTGGGGGTGGATACAGAGAAGAGAACTTGAGTTGTAGAATCAGCTAGAGCAGAATGCTCCCCCACACCCCCTCCCTTCAGCTGCCTAACTTCTGATCTTTTAGGTGCCTTTGCTCTGTGGCCCTTGGCTCACTACTTAATGTCTCAGAGCCTTGTTTGCCTCATCTGGGAAATGCTAATCCCTGCCACAGAATTGTTGGAAGGATTGCATGAGAGTTGTGTGTGTGTGGGGGGGAGGGGAGGGCACTCAGCAGAGTGCCAGGCGTGTGTCAAGTCTACTACCATTGGTGGCTCACTGCTCCTCCCACCCCCTGCTGCCTGGCTGCCTCTGAGCTCTAACCCTGAACACTGAGACCAGTGGGGAGGCTTCCCTCAGAGGCCAGTGTCAGAGGGGGCAGTTCCAGCCTCCACACAGGTGCCCCTTTGCTCCAGGATGGCCCTGCTAAGCCCATCTCTCCACCCAGCACCGGTCGAGCCACCTGCAGTATGTAGGTGCTGAACCATGTGTGTGATGCAGCGATGAACACAGCACTACCTTGACAGCTCCCACTGCCCCCTGCATGGAGGTCAGAGTCTGGGGGAGGCATAGATCTGGGGGCAGGGGACAGCAAAGGCTGCCTAGAGGAGCTGATGCCCAAGCTGCAAGCTGGTGAAGCGGAGGACAGGAGGGCATTCCAGGCAAAGGAAAGGGCATGTGTCAAGGCCTGGAGGCAGGCATGAGGGAATCACCGGGGGACCTGCAGGGTGTGTGGAATGGCTGGAGAGGCAGGCAGGTCATGGCTGGGCCTTGTCCTGCAGCCGGGATGTTCACACTGGAGAGTGCGTGCAGTGAGAGTGTGGTTAGTGCTTTAGCATCTCCCTCTGGCTGCTGCTGGAGATCAGATTTGAGTAGGAAGTTGGGGGAGGAATGGCCTGGCACCTTTTCATCACCTCCCGGAACTGGGGTGCCTGTGAGCCTGCAGATGGGGAGGGGTTTGGGAGCGTGTCCTGCTGGGGCACAGACAGGCAGGGGGATCCCAGAGGAAGGAGTGTGCCTGGAAGGCCTGGATCCTGGGTCCAGGCTTTTCCTGAATGACCTGGGTGCCCTGGGAAGAGGGCCTGACCCAACTGGGCCTCAGTGTCCCTGCTTTTACCAAAACCCTGCCTGGAAGGTTTGGCTCTGAAACCCTTCTGGGGTCTGTTCTGTGGGTAACCCGGGAGGTCTGATTGGGAGTGGCGTTCTAATGTTGGGGTCCAGGGGCAGGCTCAGGGCAGGAGAGCCTCCCCATCCTTCTTCCTCCCCCTTCCCCCATCCCCCCAGCCGTCCTTCCCTGTCTTCTGAATAAAAGGCAGGCTGAAACCCAGAGGACCCTCTGCACAGGCCACCTGCTGTTTCCCCTTGAAAGTACAGCCTTGGAAGTTTTTTATTTGCCTCCCAGCTCATTTCTGGCATTCCTTTCCCACCGCAGTGGAGTTGCCTGGGCTCAGGGGCCCCCTGTCTCTCCAGCTACGGGCTGACCTCATCTCCGCGGGTGCCAGGGCCCGGAGGGGGCTGGGCCGGCCCTTCCTCCAGGACCTGGAGCCCAGCAGTGAGGGAATCAGCTAAGGACAAGACTACCCCTCCTCACCACTGCCCCCCCCCGACCCTCCCCCCAGGACTTTCCAGTAAAATGTCTAGAGGAGTCCAGATGGGACTCCAGGGCCCTCCCTCTGCAGCTTTCCTGGGTGGCCACCCATGTCCCAGATAAAGACCCTGAAGCCCCAGGAAGGGAGCTGACCCTGGAGAGGAAGTCTCTGTGCTGAGATTCATTGAAGCTGGTCTTCAAAGCCCTGAGCAACGGGGTGCCTGCTCCCTTGCTTCTTAGGCCCTTAGAAAAACACACACAAAAAAACCCCCCCAAAAAACACGAAGCCTCCAGCAGTGACAGAAGGCAGAGTGATGGAGACACAAAACTGCCTAGGAATCAGCCAGGCTCCTCCGCGGACCATCCCCTCCTCCGGGCAGCGAGGGGGTGAGGAGGCAGGCTGGGGTTTCCTTGGCTCCCGTCTGCCTGCGCCGCTCCCACCGCGCACTTAGCAGCTTGTTATCCCGTCTGCCGCCGCCGCCCCCGCCCCTCCTCCTGGCCCCCGCCAGGCCACCCTCCCAAAATAGAAAGGGAGAGGAAGTTATTTCCACGGGCAGCGGCAGCCCGGCCGGAAAAGCTCCCCTCCAGCGAGGGGGCCGCGGGATTCCTGGAGCTGGAGACCAAATCAAAGCCAGGCCCTGGAGCCAGAGTGGCCCCCGCCGCCCCCGGCTGCCTTCGGCGTGTGTCACTCCCTGATTCAGCCGAACACGTGTCCTGTGGTTGCCACGCTGCAGGCCACCGCGGAGCTGTGGGGAGCGCCTGGCGGGGCCCCAGGCTGCCCTCGGGCCCAGGGTGGCAGGCAGGAGCCTGGGGTGAGGAGAGCACGGCTTTCTGCTGCTTTTCTCCCTCTCCTCCCCTCCTGGCTGCGGGCACAGACCTCCTGCCAGGCTGCCAGGCCCCGAGCCTAGGAAGAGCAGCCCCTGAGCACCCCCTGGTGCCTTTCAGAGCCCCGATCAAGGGTTCAAGGGGCTGTACCGTGTGGGCAGAGAGGCAGCAGATTCTATTCAATAGATGAGAAAGACAGAGGGGAGCAGGTCTCACCCGAGACCACCACGCTGGCTTGTGGCTGTGCCAGAACTGGAGCCGGGATTTGCTCTTCTCTCTAGGGGTCCTGGTGTCCTCATGCTCCCCGCCCCCCTTGAGTAATGACATCCATAAAGGCAGGAGGGGGGCGGGCAGGCTGGGCTGTTGGCCTGTTCAGAGCACACCTGTTACTCAGCAGCCATGAGCTCGAGCTGTGCGGGGTGCAAGGGGTGGGAGCACAAAAGGACACGATCCCTGCTGTCGTTAGAGGATGTTTATAAACGTCTCCGTCTGAATCCACCCCGTCCAGCGCAAGAGCCACGAACAGAGAGCTCTCAGGCTCGGAGGCCTGAGGCCTCTGGCTGCTCCGCTGTGAACGGAAGCAGCGGGGGCCGCGGGAAGCGGGCGTGCCGTTCCGAGCAGGATCCCGGAGTGACGGGCCGGGACGCCCGTGTCCAGGCCTGACCGCCCCCTCCTCACGGTCCCCTCTCGCCCTCCAGCATCGACGTGCTGGACTCCGCACCCGCTTCCGGCCAGAGGCGCTACCGGAACTGGAACCCGCCGCTGCTGGGCAACCTCCCCGATGACTTTCTCCGCATCCTGCCCCAGCAGCTGGACCGCGGGCAGGTACGGAGGGACCCCCGCCCGCCTGCCTGGCCGCCGCTCTGCTCGCCCATTCGCTTTCCGATATGTAAGCCCGGGCAGAGCGATTGCTCTTGTCCTGGGTTTGCAGGGAAAGGATGCTGAAGCGAAAGCCTCATTTCCTGTTCCACCCGGGAAGGTGACAGCCCTGAGGACACTCTGGCTGCCGCCATCAGCCCAGGCTTGAGGGAGGTGGCATGGGATAGCCGATGGCAGGGAGCCAGAGCACCTTCCTGCCCTTCCCTGGGAAAGGGCCAAGGCCGCCTCTCCCCGGAGGTTGGCATGTCCCAAGGGCTCTGAGACCGCAGGTGCGGGGAGAGGTTTGGGTTTGGGGACCGTGTAAAGGCTATTGAACAGTTTGCAGATCACCTTTTAGGACTCTTCAGGGTGTAGAGCCAGGCATGGGGCGGTCCAGGGGAAGACACGTCATTGCTGAGCCCTCGCCGCTTCCTGAGCAGAGGGGTCTGTGGTCTGTGCAGGGGGTCTGGGCCTGTGACTGGGTCCCGAGAGGAGATGCGGGTCCCAGGGTGCGGCTGGCAGGTCCTGGGAGCAGACAGGTGTCCACCCAGATGTGCACGGCTGTCTATGCTCGTGTGCCCTTGTGACTGGGCATTCAGCATACTCGCTCCCCTCCTCAGGGCAACCCCAGGGGCTCCAAGCCCGTGAACAGAGAGGGCGGCCTGCCCCCCGCGGCCGGGCCTGGGACCGGGACCCGGGACCAGGAGAGCCGCTGGAAGCAGTACCTGGAGGATGAGAGGATCGCGCTCTTCCTGCAGAACGAGGAGTTCATGAAGGAGCTGCAGCGCAACAGAGACTTCCTCCTGGCCCTGGAGAGAGGTGGAGCACGGGGGGGGGGGCTGGAGAGAGGTGGAGCACGGGGGTGGGGGCCCTGGAGAGAGGTGGAGCACAGGGGGGGCGGGGGGATGGCCTGGAGAGAGGTGGAGCACGGGGGTGGGGGCGGGGGGGAGTGGGCCCTGGAGAGAGGTGGAGCAGGGGGGGGAGAGGGGGGCTGTGTCCCTTCTCCGTGGTGGAAGAAGTGGCTGACGTTCGCTGGAGCCTTGGGGCTCAGGGAGGCAGGGGGCTGGAGGCCAAGGGCTGAGACACGGCCCACACCCCATGATCCCTGGGGGAGCCCCAGAACCCTGCCAAATGGGAACCAGCATCACTAGCTATCCCTTCTCCCACCCCCATATTCAGAGGAAGAGAGATGTGCCCTCTTACGCCCTCTTCTTCCCCTTACACATCTGCTCTGTGCCGGGCACTGGTCTTGGCATGATGTGTCTGGAGCTCCGGGAAAGGTGACCGGTCTGTGGGTGCCAGAGTCGGAGCCTCCCCGAGTGGAGGATGTCAGAGCAGGGGCTCTTGAGTGTTTGGGTTGTCTTTGGCCCAGGGACCCTGCTGTCCAGCCTGGCTGCCTTTTCCCTTCAGGGAGAGAGTGTGTTTGGGATGGAGCACAGCGAGAGGTCTGTGACAGGTCTGTCTTACAGGTCACAGTGGTGTGTGTGTGTATGTGTGTGTGTGTGTGTGTGTGTGTGATAGCATGTCAAAGGGGAGGAACAAGGTGTGCAGAGGGGAGGGGAGGCTGAGACAGAGGCTGAAGGATGGCCCCAGTTCTGTAGCAAAAGTGCTGGGGGTCTTTGGGCATTTCCTGTTAAACAAAAGGGTTAGACTTTATGATCTTCAGAGTCCTCTGATTCTGACATTCTACCATGCCAGTGCTTGTCAGGGCAAGAGTGTCTATGATAGCACTGGTTCCCTGACAGCCAGCAGACGTGTGTGCGCATATTGTGTGTGTGTGCTTGTGTGCGAGTCTAGGGGTTTGGCCTTGGTCTCAGCCCAGGCGCTAACTTCTCTGTCCTGAATGTGGTCCTTTTCCAGATCGATTGAAATACGAGTCCCAGAAATCCAAGTCCAGCAGCGTGGCTGTGGGAAATGACCTTGGCTTTCCCTCTCCTGCCCCAGGTAACCCTGCCTTCCCGGGAGAGAAGCCCCAGCTGTGCTTTGCATATTTGGAGTTGGGGGAAGGGTGACCAAATGGGCTGGCAGGAGGGTTCTGTCCCCGCAGTGCACTCAGTGTGGAACGAGATGGCCCCTCTGCTTAGCAGCCCTGGGTCCTTATAACCCAGCAGCTGCTGGAGCTCACAGCTGGAGTTGGCTATCATGCGGGCTGAACTCCTCAGAGGTGTCTGGAAACATGGGCAAGAATGGGACATGCCACACCACATAATGTCCATCTGGGGAGGAGGGACAGGAAGAACTCAAGAGACTTCCAAGCCTCGGTCTCTGCCCAAGGGGAGCTTTTGGAGATACATCTAAGAAATGGGTAGAGCTACCAGCAAAGCTAAGGACACGCCGTTGGTTATAGCAAATACAGTGGGAGGAAAAGGGCAGGAGCAGTCTGGGAAGACTCATTCATTCATTCATTTCATTCATTTCATTCATTTCATTCATTTCATTCATTTCATTCGTTTGTTCATTCATTCATTCATTCATTCATCTGGTAGTTGGGGAATATCTACTAGGCCTGTGGTCGGCAAACTGCAGCTCTTGAGCCACATGTGACTCTTTGGCCCCTTGAGTGTGGTTCTTCCACAAAATACCATGTGCGGGTGCGCACATACAATGTGGTTGAAACTTCGTGGCCCATGCATAGTCGGTTTTCGGCTCTCAAAAGAAATTTCAATCATTGTACTGTTGATATTTGGCTCTGTTGACTATGAGTTTGCTGACCACTCACTGTACTAGGCGCCAGATCCTGCCGTAGTATTGGGGGAAGGGGATTTTGAGCTTCATGTGTAAGATGGTGAGAAGCAGGAATTGCGTCAAGGGCGGGCCAGATGCCTCCCGGAACCCTCAGTGGCTGAGGAGGGCCAGGGGCGGACAGTAGCCTATTGGGATGCACAAACGAGGTCGAGCTGGGAACATGGGACCGAGAGACCCAGAGATCCCTGTTCCACACTCAATACCTGGGCTTTGCCTGCATATGTGCCTGGTGGCCCTTTGCCAACCAGAGAGCCCTCCACACACACACACAGGCTGCCCACCTCAGAGACAGAATCCACGGACCTTACAGGGTGCAGTGGAATGGGGGCGGGGAGCAGGGGGCGGGGAGCGCAGCTGATCCTGGCTCCCAGGAGAAAATCCTGTGGGACTGATTCACAAGCAACAGGCTGGAGCTCAGGCCCCGCCAGATGTGCATCTGCGGGTTTCCACAGCAGCCTCTGCCCTTGATCCCAAGTTAACTATCGACACCGGAGCCTCTGAGATGGATCAGAAGGACTCACGGGGGACTTAGCGAACAATGTGACTTGGATTAGCAGAGCTGCAGGGCGGAGGGCAGGGGCTGTCCCTCCTCTCTCTCACTGGCCCTCGGCGGTGTCTCCCTCACTTCCAGGAACCAATGATGCCAACCACGCTGTGTCTGAAGATGCCTTATTCAGGGACAAGTTGAAGCACATGGGCAAATGTGAGTCCAGCCCACATCCCCCTCTCAGATCTCCTCAGATCGGCCCCGGGCGGGGGGGGGGGTGCGGGGGGGAGCCACCGGCATTTTTAATGCAGCGGACTCTGGGTGAACCCAAGTGACATTTTAATCGCAGGCTGGCTGCCTCAGCCTTCTTGCCTCATTTCCCCCTGCAGCTGAGTCTGGAGACAAATTAAGTTTTAAATCCTCTTGAGCTGTCTGTCTGCAGAAAAATAATGTGCGGCACCCTCTCCCCCCAAGTTTTACTATGCGCTGTGGCTTGAGGGAGCTTAACTGGGCCTGAGTGGGGAGGTCTCTGCTAAGCCCACTTCCTGCAGGCGAGAGGCCTGTGGGTCCGTGACCTCTTGCCACAAAGTCCTGCCAGCCAGGGCTCACCTGCCCCTGCCCCGCCCGGCCCCGCCCCTCCCACTGCACACAGCCGTGCTTGCACCAGGCTGCCGTCCTCTCAAGCTCCATTTCAAGGAAAATCTGGGATTAGTCACGGAAATCCCAGAACCAGCTCTGGAAATGGCGAGGGGATGGGAGGAGGCGGCGGGAAAGAAAGCCAAGAGGCATTGCCGTTGGTCAAGCTGAGAAGGAATACCTAGATCTTGGGCTGCCAGCTGTCCCTGGTCCAGCTCCCTGGAGCCCGTGCTGCCCCTGCAGGCCACCCCAGGACAGCAGCCTCGCTCCCCTGGGGCACCAGCCTGGCGTCACCTCCCCAGCTCCCTGACCATCCTGCGTGCATTGGCCCCGAGCCCTGGTGGGTAGCTCCCTGGTGCTCCGCTGCTGGCTCACAGGTCTGTCTCTCTGCCTGCAGCCACCCGGAGGAAGCTGTTTGAACTGGCCAGGGCCTTCTCGGAGAAGACCAAGATGCGGAAGTCAAAGAGGAAACACTTGTTGAAGCATCAGTCATATCCTTTCTGGCCTGGCCCTGGGGAGGGGGACGGGAGAAAGTGGTGGGTCCTAAGGGCACCGAGATCCTGGGCTGGGTTCCCCGAGGTTGCACATTCCCCCAGCCCTAGGCCCGGGTTCTGCGGCCCTCCCTTCACCCCTCACCCCTCTCCCTGCTGCCAGCCTGCTGCCCCTTCTCTCTGTGCCCACCTCCACCACCATGACCAGGCCTGGGGAGAGGGCCAGCATCCCCCTCCCTCTCTTCCTCCTGGAGGCTCAGGATTGTCCTGCAGTGTTTGTGCTCTTTGCCTGGAGTAAACAACATGATTGTTTTACCGAAACCAGCAAGCCTTTCCCTAGTTTCTCCAGTTGAACGGATCCTCAGATCTCTCCGCCTCATTTCCAGGCCTTCTCTCTTTTACTTCCTTGAGAAAAGATGAGGATTTCCACATCTTTACCCAGGCTCCCATCCCTGATTGTCAAAAGGGGCCCCAGGGTATTAGAAGCTGAGCAGCCAAAGGGGAACGGGGAGCGGATCGCTTCCCTGTTACCGGATGGGAGGCCGGGGAGGGTCAGGGCCAGGCTGCCCAGCTGAAAGGAACAGAGTCTGGGGGAGACCTTGTGTGTGTGTGTGTGTCGGGGGGGGGGGTTGTTGGGGGATAAGGCTGGTGTGGTGGGAGCTTCCTGAGCTTGGAGCAGGGGGTAGAGGATAAGGGCAGGGAGTTGGAGTCCTAGGGCAGTACCCACCCATCTCTGGGACAGTTTTCCTGAATGGCCGGGCAGGCTGGGGGCTGCTGCGTCCACAGCCAACCTCCTGGACGACGTGGAGGGCCACACCTGTGGTGAGGCACGAGGGCGGGGTGGCTGGATCTCTAAGTTGCCTGTAGTCAGTGGCCCTCTTCTTGGGTGTTTCGTGGGTGACACCTCAAGGATTTTGGGGGGACAGGTGACCCAAAAGATGAGGCTTTCCACATCTTTACCCAGGCTCCCATCCCTGATTGTCAAAAGGGGCCCCAGGGTATTAGAAGCTGAGCAGCCAAAGGGGAACGGGGAGCGGATCGCTTCCCTGTTACCGGATGGGAGGCCGGGGAGGGTCAGGGCCAGGCTCCCCCTTGGACCATGTTGCCTCTCCCTTCCTTCCACCCCCGAAGGGGAGCTCCGGCCACACCCCGCCTAGATCTCTGCCGGGAGACGGAGAGCCAGGGCTGGCTGCCAGGCAATGGTCTCTGGAGTGTGGCGGGCAGACAGGCTTCAACTTGAGAACCAAGCTCCAGGCAGGCTCAGTCTGTGGGCCCAAGGCCTTGAGCATTCTTCCGGTCCCTCTCAGAGGCCATGTGGACAGCAGCCACTGCCTCAGAGCCCACTGAGCCTCTGAGAGAGGGGCCTCCGGCGGCCGGGAGACATCCAGAAACAAGGCCTCGAGGGGCCCTGGGGGCCATCCGGAGAGTCCCCACTTTATAGGCGAGGAAACAGAGGGAAAGTCTTGTCTGGGGCCGTGGAGCTCAGTGATGGAGCCAGGCCGGCAGACAGGTGTCCTAATCTGTACTGAGCCCTGCAACCTTCTCACCTGACACCCCCCCACCCCCCGCGCCCCCAGGGGTCAGCGTGTGTCCCTGCCAGCAAGCGGGTGCTCTTGCTCAGCTCCCCTCTGCTTTTCAGACGAAGACTTCCGGGGCCGGCGGCAGGAGGTGCCCAAGGTGGAGGAGGCCCTACGGGAAGGACAGTAAGAGGTAAGGCCCGGAGCCACAGCCGTCTTCCCTCCTCATTGGCCTCATGGTGGCAGGGGACACGAGCTTCTGTTGGAAACTAGACTTTTGCATTTCTTTTACTTGGTTATTTAGTTGATGAAGGATAACCATTCCTGCCAATGCCAGATGCTGCAGACAGGAAAAAAAATAATCAGCTCTAGTCTCAAATAATTTATGGCAATGAGTGAGAAACAGTCCAGGACACACACACACACAGCACCCTGAGAGGACCAGGTAGAAAAGACAGGGATGGCCCCACCCTGGCCGCGCGCGCGCGCGCACACACACACACACACACACACACATACACCCCTCTCCCAGTGGCTGCTGGGTGGGGGTGGGGTTAGGGGTGAGGTGGGTAGTGTTTGCCACAAGCAGATGAGGAAACGGCCCCTCTCAGGTCAGCTCTGATGCTGGCAGGAGCCTTGGCCCCAGGCTGCTGTCCCTCCTCTCTCCCTGAGCGTCCCTTGGGGAGAAAATGGGGAATGTCACTTCCTCCAGGCCTCAGCAGCATCTGCCCCTCTCCCAGCCCCTCCCCCAGCTGCTGTCCTGTGCCCCTGCTTCTTGAGCTGACGGTCTGGCAGGTGTGGCTGTTTCAGATGATGCAGGAATACGTGCTGCCCTCAGGGTAGTTGTGGAGGCGGTGAGGCAAACCAGCATGCAGAGGACACAGCCAGGAACAGCTCCCAGGGCCTGTCCCTGCAGCCGGGGTGCCTGGCCTCCACATCACCTCTGTGACTCCCCACCAGGCACTTCCCGACCGTCTGTCCCCTCAGGCTCTCCTCACCCACGTGGCTGCACCCACACGTCTCACTGCTCCAAAAGGCTCCCATAAAGTCCCGGGAGAGGCCCCCACGCCCCTCAGTGCTGCCGTCTCCTTCCCATGGGTCCCCAGGGAAAACACGGACAGTCCAAAGCCACTCCCGCACAGGCCTTGCCCATCATTTCTCTCCCGAGTCTTCCAGCATTTCCCTTTCCAGCTCCTTCCTCAAGTCTGCACTCTCCTCTTCCCCATCTTTTTTTTTTTTTAAATATATTTTATTAATTTTTCACAGAGAGGAAGAGAGAGAGATAGAGAGTTAGAAACATCGATGAAAGAGGATCATCGATCAGCTGCCTCTTGCACACCCCCTACTGGGGATGTGCCCCCAACCAATGTACATGCCCTTGACCGGAATTGAACCCGGGACCCCCCAGTCCGCAGGCCAACGCTCTATCCACTGAGCCAAACCAGTTTTGGCTCCCATTCCCCATCTTAAACATCACCCAGCTTGTAAAAAAGGGGCCTCCTCCTTCATCCACGGCCGGCTGGCAGGCCCTCCCCTCCCCAGACTGACACAGGCCTTCTCCTGTGCTATGTCCTCCGGTGTGCTCTTCTGCACACTCTGCCCATTATCTTTCTTGAAACTTCTCTCCCTTGGTTCCCATTCTCAAGGTCCCTTTCTGTCTCTCCTCCTCCTACTCCCTCAGTCCTACCTCTCCTGGTAGCTCCATCCTTACCCCTCTTTGAAATCTTCTCACTCCTGCCCTGGCCAGTGTTGCTCAGTAGTTAGAGCATTGACCTCACACACCAAAGGGTTCTGGATTTGATTCCCCATCAAGGGCACATACCTGGGTTGTGGGTTCGATTCCTGGCCCTGGTTGGAATGCGAGCAGAAGACAACCAATTGTGTCTCTCATATCCATGTTTCTCTCTCCCTCCCTCCCTCCTTTATACTCTCTCTAAAAGTCAATGGAAAAAATATACTCTGGTGAGGGTTAATGGGAGGGAGGGAGGGAGGGAGGGAGGGAGGGAGGGAGGGAGAGAGAGAGAGAGAGAGAGAGAGAGAGAGAGAGAGAGAGAGAGAGAGAGAGAGAAAGCTTTTCACTCACCATGGCCTGGCCACCACCCTCTGTTACAGTATCAGTAATACTTTTGTGCATTTGGCTCCAAAATCTGAATCTCCATCTCAGTTCCATAACCCCAGCTATGCCCCCGGTTATCTCTCTGGCTCTAGATGTCAACTCGCTGAAGGCCCATCTCTCCCCCTGACTTCCCCACGTCATTTCTCTTACCTTTTCCTTCTCATCACCCGGTTAACAGCCACTTGTCTCTTCCCCACCCCTACTCTGTTCACTCCATCACCAGAACATGTTCCTTCCATTTACCCTTGCTCGTCTGAGCACTAAAGGTTTGTGAACTCCTCAGGCTGGTGCGCGGGGCCTACTGAATTTTTTTTTTTTTTTTTAAAATATATATTTTATTGATTTTTTTTACAGAGAGGAAGGGAGAGGGATAGAGAGTTAGAAACATCGATTAGCTGCCTCCTGCACACCCCCCACTGGGGATGTGCCCGCAACCAAGGTACATGCTCTTGACCAGAATCGAACCTGGGACCTTTCAGTCCGCAGGTAGATGCTTTATCCTACTGAATTCTGACCCCCATTTACTTTGCTGCTGCTACAGAGGCTTCTAGCCTGGCTCATCTGAGCTACCACTGTGTCACAGAGGGCTGGGCACCTCCCCTCCTCTCAGCCCTCCCATTCAGCGGCTTCCACTGGAATTCTAGTCCCACACTCCATCTCTAGCTGCCAGAGTCCCTGGTGTTCTGCAAGTTGTACCATTTCTAGGAGCGTGTGTGTGTGTGTGCGTGTATGTGTGTGTTTGCGTGTATGTGTGTTTGTGTGTATGTATATGTGTGTGTTTGTGTGTATATATATATGTATGTGTGTATATGTGTTTGTGTGTATGTGTGTATATGTGTGTATGTGTGTGTTTGTGTGTGTGTGTGTGTGTCCAGGCAGGGTTCCAAGGCTGACACAGTCCTCAGAGGAAGGAGACGACGGTTTGTGTCTTTGGTAGCTTCTGCCCAAAACCATCTCTCCAGGAGCCAGTGGTGAAGGACCCCGGGTGGAAAAGCCTTCTCCCATCCTTCTCCTTCCCAGATGACAGCAGTTCCTCCTCGCTGGAGATGACCTGACCCGGTGGAGGCAGCCGGAGAGCAATCCCGGCCCCCAGTTGGAGAGCCTCGCTGCAGCCGGACAGATGGACAGATGGACAGATGGTGCTTGAGTACCAAGGCCCAGCGATTCTCCAGCCACAGTCCAGCCGAGCCACTGCCACTTTCAATGGGACTTAGAACTTCGGAGTTGCATGCTGTGATTGGAGGAAGGACCTGGAAGAGGGGGAGGGGGGAGGGCGGAGGGCGGTGATTGGCCAACCAGGGCCCCTTTTGTAGCCTGGCTGTTCTATGGGCAATGAGTGGAAATGCAGGATCCAACCCCCTTCTTAAAAACAAAAAACAAAAAACGAAACAAAAACACGCAGAAACGGGCAAAGGCTGGAGTGCCACAAAGGGCAGGATGACCTTACCAGAGGCTCCTGGGCCTGATGGTGGAGCCCCTGCTTCCCAGCCTTTCCCATCACCCCTGCTGGGCCACAGACACTGCCTGACCCCCGACCCTATCCCCTGCTCCCTCTGAATACCCTTTGTTCCCAGTCTTCTCTGGCACAGAGCGCGGGGAGGGAGAGCCCTGGGCAGTCACAGGGCCCCCCTCTGAGGGGCGATGGGCCAGGAAAGAGAGGCATCTGCCGACTACCCCGCCTGGGCCCCTCCGGCTGCCCCCGTTAGGGGCTGGCTCGACCCCCAGCAGGGATGGGGAGGGTGGCCGCCCCGGAGCTGGAGGACTCTGGTCCGGCAGGAGGAGTGTGGGGCCAGCGGAAGGGGCTGTCAGCCCCGGTGGGAGCGCTGGGCCAGAAGGGCTTGCTGGGTGCCCCTGCCTTGCCAAGAGCCCAAGATCCAGGTGAATGACCCCAGGAGGAAGGGAAACTCGGGTTCTGCGAACCTTACCCGGCTCAACCACTGCCAGAGGGAGGGTGTCCGGCCCCAGGGTCGGGAGGAGACCGTGCTGACCTCTCCGGGGAGATGGATCCCGGGCAGCCCGAGGTTTGAGTCACCTCCTCTCCCCACCCCACCCCACCCCGGGGTGTGGAAGCAGCCCAGCCGCGCGGGGGCTGGGGGTGCCAGCCAAGCTTTTGTGGGCCAGGTGGCCTCCAGTCACCCCGAGAGGAGGAGGGCGCGGTGGGTGCTCAGGAAGTGCGGGGGTGGGGGAGGGCAACCCCTCCGGCCAGACAGGGCCCCCCCCTGACCCCGAAGCCCGAGCTCCTGTCGGATTTGACCCCAGGGGCCAAGGAGCGCCCCTGGCGGGGCTCCTGGCTGCGCTCCGGGCCGCCCCCCCTGCGCGCCGCGGGGGAGCGCCCGCCCCTCATCTGTGTGTGGCTTTATTCGTGTTTTGGTTTTTCTTTTCTTTTTTCCTACGTGTGGGTTTTCTCGTGGGGCTGTTTCTTAGGGATTCCTGTAATAAAGACTCGGTGTTCTCTTGGTGCTCCGATGTGGCCGGCGGGCGGGGTGGGCTGAGCTGAGCCCTCTTCCCCGCCTCGCGCAGTTTGGCGGGGGGCGCCCAGGCCCCCGGGGCCCCCAGGGAGCCCCCCAATAAGCGTCTGTGGGGCCGGGAGGCTGAGAGCTCTGCACCGCCCTCACCAGGTGCCTCCTCGCCGCCCATGGAGCTGGCTTTGCTCAGAGCGGCCGTTCCCCGGGGAAAGCAGGCCGCTCGCTGCGAGGCCAAGGGACCCGGCAGGGAGGCCCGAGCGCCAGCTTGTCACCTCCTTGGACAAACAGAAAGCGGGAGAAAAGGCTGCGGGAAGGTTCCGGCTCAGGCTTCAAAGGGCCCGCAGACATCTTCCAGGGCAAACATCTTGGTCCCCCCAGCTCAGCTGGGCCGCCTCCCACGCCGGGGAGCTGGCCGCCAAGAGGAAGCCCGGGCCCTTCCAGACCGGGCAAGTCCTTCCTGCGCTGAGCGCACAGGCCTCCGCGGCTCCCACCTGCGCATCGGGATTCTGGGCCCCCATCGCCCAGGCCAAGGCCACCCCTCTCCCCCAACGCCGAGTGTGAGCTGAGAGGCCTGACCCTCTCCTTCGGGACAAACCACGCAGGCTCCCCCCCCCCCCCCCCCACACACACACAAAGGGGCTCTCCCCACGCCCTCTCAGACGGAGGCGGGATTGTAGGTTGGTGTGCCTGGGACAGCTGGTGACGCGCCAAACATGCTGCTTGGACCTGGACAAACCGAGATTACCCTCGGACCCCAGCTCATTCGACAGCCCGGGACCAGTGTAATCCCCGCAGCACTGGGACTGTATTAGAAGCGACAGTTCTCAGCCCTTCCCAACCAGCAACTCTGGGCACGCAGCCCAGCCACCTGTGGTGCGGTGTACACAAAGTTTGAGAGCCATGGTGCCAGGCCAGGACACAGTATTGGCTTCACAATAGAATTGCCTGAGTAATTAAAAAAAAATAAAAAAAGTCCTGATGCTCAGTACCCCAGACCAACGAAATCAACAGCGATGGGTTGGTTTCTTTGAAAACTCTGCCAGTAGTTCAAGCCGGCCATCAAATTGGAGGAGCAGCGCACTAAGCAGTCTGTTAGGTGTCTCATGCTAGCCCAGTTAACCTAATGGCCGCTTTACCGATGACGTAATGACAGTTCAGAGAGGGTAAATAACTTTTCCAACATCCCAGAGCTGGTGAAGTGGGAAGCAGACTCCTAAGCCTCCTGACCCTCTCCTTCGGGTCAGGAGGAGCTCCATCCCTTACACCCGTGGTCAAACTGTGGATCGCGAGCCACATGCGGCTCTTCGGCCCCTTGAGTGTGGCTCTTCCACAAAATACCACGGCCTGGGCGAGTCTATTTTGAAGAAGTGGCGTTAGAAGAAGTTTAAGTTTAAAAAATGTGGCTCTCAAAAGAAATTGCAATCGTCGTCCTGTTGATATTTGGCTCCGTTGACTAATGAGTTTGCCGACCCCTGCCCTACACCTGTGCTGCCCCAAGTGTGTCCCCGGACTGTTAAAAATGCATGTAATCCCGCCCCACTCCAAGCTTCTGAGTCTGAACCTGGGGTGGATTCTCACAAGCCCTCCCGAGGGCTCTGCTAGGTGCTCCCGTGTGAGAACCATAGTTCTACAGCCTCGCTGCTCAAAGCTCCGTCTGTGGGCCGGCAGTATCATCGGGAGCTTATTAGATTAGGAACCCAGAATTTCAGAGTCTATCTCAACCCCAGTGAACCAGAATGTGCATGTCAACAAAAGCGCACTGGGTAACCTGCATGTGCATGAAGGCTTGAGGAACCCTATTCGAGAGCACTGGTTCTCTGACGCCTGGGCCCCATTCCCGGAGACTCTGGTTTAATTGGGTTGGGATTCAGCCTGGGACTCGGATTGGAAGCGCTCCCCAGGTGATTCGAATATGCAGCAACGTTTGAGAACCGCTCACCGTGTGCCCATTAGTGCAGATGAGAATGAGCGTGTTTGGAGCCACAGAGGAGGGCGCAGGCAGAGGAGGCAAAGAAAGCTTATGGAATCCAACAGGAGTGCGGGAGAGGAAGCCGCTGGTCCGCTGGTCAGCTGGTCCGCGTGGAGCAGTGTGTGCAGATCCCAGGTAGGAGCTGAGCGGGGCCAGGTGACCACCCAGCCATCTGCCCTCACACACCGAGTTCCCGGCAAACCCCGGGCTCTTGGTAAGCACAAGGTGATACTCACCGATTTATCTCCCGCAGAAATGCTGAGCCAGGCTCTCCGGAGTCTGGTCCGGTCGGTGTTCCTCCCCTTTTGTATGCTTTGCTGTCCCTAGAGCTCAGCCCCAACTTGAGGGGAGGTCATGAAATCTGGAGAACACTGTGCCCAGAAAAACTTGCCTGGTGGTTATTACCAGGTTGGGGTCTCAATTCTCCCTTTGTTCTTTGAGTAAGGTGACTAGACGTCCCGCTTTTGGCGGGACAGTCCCAATTTTTAACAATTTGTCCTGCATCCCGTAGCATTTTTAAAAAGTCCCGATGTTTATAAAGATTAAAAATTGGGACTGTCCCGCCAAAAGCGGGACGTCTGGTCACCTTATCTTTGAGGCGCCTGGGAGGGCATTGAGGTTGGAGGAAAGACAGGAGAAGAACTTGGTGGGTAAAAGGCAGCAAAGTGTGGGATGATGAAGACGAGAACTGATGACAAGTGCTTACTGTATGCTGGTCACTTTTCTGGTACTTTAAATGTTATTTAATTTCATAAAAATCAATGGCATTACTCCAATTTCACAGATCAGGAAACAGTCGCAGAAATGTTAAGGTCCTTACTCAACATCATCCTTAGTAAGTGGTAGTACCTGGATTTGAACCTTGGCAGCTGAACTCTAGAATTGGTGCCTAAACACTAAGCTATTTATTGGGGTGGGGGAACAGGTGGTAAGATCTAGAACACCTGCATAGATGCAATTTGTGGAGCACAGAAAGGTCCCCCTGTTTAAAAATATCTCCATAGTGATACATGACCCTACAGTGTGGCTGGAACTCACCTATTAATCATTCTTTATCTGGTTTAGAAAACAGTCTCTTATCATTTCCATTAAATGGAAAATATACTACTGAAGAGAAGCACATGAGCTCCTTTTGCCCATTATCACAGCATAGATTAATTTGTTGGATTAGCTGGCTGGGCCAGCTGGGGGGGAAATTTGGAAATTTCTGAGGCGTGAGGCAGGAGAGGGGGTAGAGGGGACTGTGTAAATCTGCTGCCACCTGGTGGTTATCTCTCACAGGTGTCACTCTCTGGCCACCGTGAGGCCCAACATCAGTTTTTCAGAAGGAAGACCTGGGTCAAATAAAGGGAATTGACTCTGTCCACATGTCTTATATTTTGTAAAATTTGCAAAACAAATTTTGTTTGTTTCTTAAAAGGGCCATTAAGCTTATACCACCAGCATTTCCCCTGCTTGTCATTTCTGGAGAGTGGCCACAATTTCTTATCAGGTCAGAAGGATTATTCCAGAGACTCTGAAGTCAAGAGCAGTGAAGCTCAGTACAAACTCTGCATGAGTCTGCCTTGCTGTGACCTTGCTTTTTAAGGCGTGGACGGTGGATATAGTCACCATTGGCATTAACCTTAGACATTCAGGGTTTCAGCGTGGCCCATGTGGCTCTGTTGGTTGAGCGTGGTTTCAGGCACCAGGAGGTCGCAGGTCTGGGTTTGGGCTTGATCCCCTGTAGGAGGTGTGTAGGAGGCAGCTGGTAGAAGTTTCTCATTGAGATTTCTCTCTCTTTCCTTCTCCTTTCCTCCATCTGAAATCAATAAAAACACACATATATATTTTTAAATAGGAGAAATGCAAAGTTTCAATCCTTACTCCAGACCCACTGAGTCAGAATCTGCATTTCCCAAGAGCCCCAGGAGGCTCGGTTGCTTTGCCTTTCACAAGGAAAGAAGGGCCCACACCACACCCGCCAGAACTGGCTGCCTTCAAGGGTCTTTCTCCCCCCCCCCCCCCCCCCCCCCGCTGGGAAAACTCCAGCAGAGTGATTTCAATAATAAAAGGCCGGAGTGTTGCTCCTGCTGGGATACTCTGGCTCCTGTTTCCTTGGCTACAAAAGAAGCCACAAGCATACAGACCTCCCAGGGCAGGTGTAGGTCTCTACAGTGCTCTCTCCTCTGCCTGAACTCATTCTCCTTGGGGGCAGAGCTGTGGTTCGCTGAAGAAATGAATGGGCAGCCGTGTGAAAGTGTCTTGCAAATTGCTAGGTGTGATTTAATGGTAGGTGTGATTCAATAAATTGTGATTTATTGCTCTTAAGCAGCATGGGATGGTCAGAAAGAATTATTATCACTCTTATTTATTGAGCAGTTACTACCAGCAGCATTGCTCTAAGCACTCTGCAGGTATTAACCCACGGACTCCTCACACTAAGGCTAGATGGTGGGTGCTATGATTACCCCCATTTTACAGATGACCAAGCTGAGGCCCAGAGGTTTGTAAAAAGAGATCTGTCCATCAGTGAGGCACAGAGGACAGTCAGAACTGGAAATGCCCAGGTGACGGGTTATTTCCATTCAACCACAGCTTTGGGTAAGACCTCCAGGAAAGAGGGCTGGATGTGAGTAGGCAGCAAGGGAGGACGGAGCTGGCTGCATCTTCATTTATTCTAATTTGGCTTTACCCGTCCATGCTGTTCGCTAGGAAACACTTTCCGAAGAGCCAGCTCTGAGCCAAGCACCGGACTGGGTGTGAGAGGCAGAGATAAGAGCCCCGATTCCTGCCCTCAGAGAGGCCCAGTTAGATAGATTCAGACAAGTAAACAGAGTTACAACATCAAATTGTGAGAGAGATAAGCTGAGGGAGGGAGAGAGGAAGCAGGTCCTGGGGACATACTCACCCAGTCTGGCTGAGTGTCTGCAGCCTGGAGGCGAGATACCTTCCTTCCGAATAGTACCTTCCTCCTTCCCGGAGTACTCCTGCTCCTTGCATCGTGTGTGGAATAGACTAGGATACCATTGCTTTCCTCTGAGAGCAACAGCTGATTTCCCTGATCCTGGCTTTCTGCCAAAGGTGAGTAGCAATATTAATGATTTCATCCATGTGCTGGGATTTCCACTTTCCGAAGCTGTTCTGCTGCTGGGGCTGTTCTTCCTCTTTCTGTCAGACAAACTCCCCGGGGGCATTATCCATAAAGATGTGGGCACCGTGTAGGGAAGCCGCAAGGATGGCCTAGACTCCAAGGATAGTAACGGAGGGTCTCCGTTTGCTGTGTCTAAGCCTGAAGGGACAAGGTAGGAACAGTGCCTGGAACCTGTGAGGGAGCTGCGTGAAGAGGCTGTGTGGTGGAGCTGGGACTTTGTGTTCCTGGACCGTGCGGGGAGGGATTCAGGGGAGCAGATTTTGGCTTCACCCTTCTGCTTCCTGCCAGTCCCCTGCCGATGCCCCCACTGGCAGTATCAACTGGAACTCAACTAGAAACAGAGGGCAAGGAGCAGGGGGGGTGGGTGGGTGCAGTCCGTACAAGTCAGCCTCCTGGGACACAGGACAGGGAGAAGGGTACAGAGTACGTGGAGATCTAGGTGGGCAAATGAATTTACCAATGTTATGGGCTTACCCATGTTATGGTTTGAAAGGCACCCCTCAAAAATTCTTATGTTGAAGTCAGTTCTAGCCCCCAGCACCTCTGTAACTGTTTGGAGACAGAATCTTTAGAGAAAACTCTTGCTTTGAAATTCCTCCCCTATTGAGGGTTTGGGTCTTTGGGTTTCCTCCCTGAACTTGGAATAAACCCTTCTAATTCCTCAGCGGCGGTCACTGCAGGGGCCTCTGGGGGGCAGGCCTGAGTGGGAGAAGGGAAGTGTGTCTGTGGTCTGGGCTGACAACTTGCTCGGATTTGGACAGAATTAGAAACTTGTTATGAGGCCTGGGAAGACTATATTTAGCCGGGCGTGTGTTTGCTCTCCCTCCAGCACAGTCTTCTGGTCGGCAAACTCATTAGTCAACAGAGCCAAATATCAACAGTACAACAATTGAAATTCCTTTTGAGAGCCAAGTTTTTTAAACTTAAACTTCTTCTAACGCCACTTCTTCAAAATAGACTCACCCAGGCCGTGGTATTTTGTGGAAGAGCCACAGTCAAGGGGCCAAAGAGCCGCATGTGGCTTGCGAGCTGCAGTTTGCTGACCATGGTTCTAGACCTTCCTAGGGCTGGGAGACGGGAGCCTCCACACTTAGCCCAGTGGCCAGAGCTGTGTTCTCTCTTCTCTGTTCCAAAGGGCCCTGAGGCAGCAGTAACATACACGTCTCAGTTTAGTCCTGGGCCTCACATCACCCTGTCCCCTGCTGTTGGGGTCAATTTTACCTGACCTCCTCTGCTAACCAGCCTCCAGCTCGAGGCACAGCTGAGAAGGCAGTGTGGCATTCTGGGAAGGGCCCAGGCTGGGCTGGAAGCCCGGCTGTGTCAGTTACCTATCAGACAAGTTACTTAACTCCCTAAGGCTTCACTTTCTAATCTATAAACAAGATAATAATAGCCACTTAGCGGGTGGGTGTGTGGATCCAGTCTGATAACACAAGTACACAAGCACTAACTACTCATCTCACATTCCTCTCCACCTCCTCTCCATCCTCCCGAGGAGCAGAAAGATTGGATAATTTGATGCTCTTTCTTGCTGACAAAGATGATGGGTTCCTGGGAGACATATTATGTGTATGTGATTCAAAAGTAAAAATGTAAATACAGACTCCTTTACAGGTCAAACTCTGAAGGGGTACATAAAGAAAAAAAATTCTCCCTCCCCTCCTGCAATTTTACGTAGATAACCCATATTCATAGCCTTGTGTGACCTTCCACAAGTTTCTATCCTCCTACAAACACAAACACATACACTGCAAAGGGTTTTCTTTTGTCTTTCAACAGGTTAGGGTCGCCCTAAAGGTGTTTCTCTGATACTTCCTTTTTGGTTTAACTATAAGTCATGGGCATTTATCTAGGTCAGTGGTCGGCAAACTCATTAGTCAACAGAGCCAAATATCAACAGTACAACGATTGAAATTTCTTTTGAGAGCCAAAATATTTAAACTTCTTCTAATGCCAGTTCTTCAAAATAGACTTGCCTAGGCCGTGGTATTTTGTGGAAGAGCCACACTCAAGGGGCCAAAGAGCTGCATGTGGCTTGAGAGCCACAGTTCGCCGACCATGGATCTAGGTCAATATATAGATGAAACTAAGTCGTTAAAACCTGCATAGGATTCCATAGAATATATGAAGCATGATTTTCCAGCCATTTCCCATTAGCCACCCTTCTTCTCTAGGGGTGCTGTCCCCAAAGTATGGTTATTGGGCTGAAAGATAACCCTGGCAGGTTCCTTTCCCCAGATTATCCAGTTTCCTTCTTGGAATTTGTTCCGCACACTCTTTCCTTTTCAAGCTCCAAGGAGGAGCGAGGCAGCAACGCCTCCTCCGGGGAGGAAGCATTAGCTGCTGGCAGCATCCTCATTAGGACGGATGCAGGTGGCGCCCCAGGGCCTAAGGGTTTCGTGGGTCGAGCTAAACAGCAGCAGACAAGGCTCGGGCTCCATGTGACCCGGGGCAACGGGCTCCCCTCCCCGGGCCTCGGCTGCCTTTTGCGTAGTCTGTGACTCCAACCCAAATAGGCACAGGTGGGACCTAGTGCTGGAGGGCTCCTGGTGGCTCCCCTAAAACGTGGGCTGCGTCTCCCACCTTCCTCCTCATCCTCTGCCCACCGCGCGGGCCCCACCTAACAGGAGTGGCCTCATTGAGGCCAGACAGGGTAAAGCAGCCACTAGAATGAATCCCTCTCCTAGATCGGCCATTTACAGCTTTTGCCGGGCTTTGGCTCGCTCCTTCCCTCTTGGCTCGGCTGTCCAGTGCTCCTGTCTGAACCTGGCCGGGAGCCGAGAAGCGCGCCAGTTCGGCCGATCCTTTGCTTCTGCCTGGCTCCGCCCCCTCCACCCCCCGCCCCCGGCGGGGCCGCTGGTGTAATCCACCGCTCGGCCAGCAACTTTGCCTCCTTGGCCTGCGGCTGGCGCTTCCGGTTCCGGTAGCCGCTCACCGCGCTGCGTCGGCGGCTCAGGCCATGGCGGGCAGCCGGCTGGAGACGGTGGGCAGCGTTTTCTCGCGGTGCGTGCTCGGAGCCGGGGTGGGCTGAGGGTGCCTCCGCCGGGCGGGGGCTCAGCTCGGGTGTGGGGGTGAGCAGGGCGGGCGAAGCCTTCTTTCCAGGTACGGTGTCCGAGCCGGGGGAGGCCTAGCCGTGCTTCCTCCTGCTTCTGAACGGCTGTGCTTGAGGGTGTCACTCCTTGAGCTTCTTAGCTTTCACGTTCGAGGTTGCACCGCTCCCTTCCCCGAGCGAGTGGAGGTTTCTAGGAAGAGGCGGCTGGGTCTGGCCGAACCGTCTTTGCCTTGGACGTGACGGGCATGGGGCCAGGGAGTGGGCTGCGCTGCCGGATATAGGAGGGCTTAACCCTCTGAGCTGGATTAGGCGGGTTTGCAATATGGAGCTATCGGACCTGTAGGTGGGGAACACCCCTGCTCCACCCTCCTTACGGCTCCGTGATCTGGAGCTGTCTCAGCCTGTGACTGCACTGATTCAGGCTGTGGGAGCGGACTGACCTTCGTGGTTTTCCTTCCTTAAGGACCCGGGACCTCATGCGGGCTGGGGTATTGAAGGAGAAGCCCCTCTGGTTCGACATATACGCCGCCTTCCCCCCGCTGAGGGAGCCCGTCTACCGAAGGCCCCTCATGCGATACGGCAAAGCCAAAGCTGACATCCAGGACATCTTCTACCACGAGGATCTCATTAGAGCGTGAGTGCCCCAGGGCGGGTGCGCGGGGAACTGCAGGAGGAGAGGCTTAGCTAGCGGTCTGGCAACTTCAATAGACTTTGAGTCAGGGCTTGCCTTATGGAGATGGTCTTGTACATTTAGCAAAACGAGGGAATCAGTTCCCTCCCCCTTGTGAGAGAGACAGGAGTTCTGAGAAGTAGATGGAGCCCAGCAATTGACTGATCATTGCAGTTACTTGTTTCTGCACATCTGTTTTGCATCAGGCACTTAACGGGGTTAAGCACTTAACAATCGTCTCATTTAGGCCTTACTCTAGACTTGCAAAGTAGGCATCCTTCTCTCCATTTCAGTCATGTGGGCCTCTGAGACTTACAGAGGGCAACAAACTGGGAGTTCATTGGCACAGCCCTTTTCCTCAAATACTTGTCAACTAGCTTTATACTGGGAACTGGTATGGTTTCTTTTCTGTTAGATGTTAAGATCAGAGGTTGTGCCTAACTGAAGTTAATATATATTCCTTATCCTTACCCCTATTCCTGGGTGTAAGAAGACAGAGTTTATAGTTATATTCTCTATTGAAGCCCAGGTACCTTTCATTTGAGGGTGTTTTTCCTCCCCATACAACACTTCTTGGAGGCAGGAAAACAAGTATGTTCTTGCGCTACTTGGAAATTTTCAGGATAAGACACAAGATCTTTGGGGTATTAAGTACTTTTTTAACACCTTTTCTGCTCAGGTGCATTGGATGACGTGGTCAGCATGCTTTCCATGTTCACTTATACATTAAAATAACTTATGTGATAGGGCAATGTGGAATATTTTATAGCTCTCTTACTACTATCAATGCCAAAATAGTAACACCTTGTATTTAAATAGGTTTTGAACATCTATCTTTGTGGCTTTTGGGGGGCAGGAATGTGATGATGTTTTATATTTTTAAGAACTTAAAACAACAAAATAAATTCTAGAGCTATCAAAACTTAGATGTAAAAATGTGAAATCATAAAAGTACTAGAAGAAAACTTGGGAGAACTTTTTAAATAGTCTGAGTGATTAAGACCTTTTTAAGAATGACATAGAACCCAAAAGTCATAAAATGAAAATATTAAAATTTTCTGCATAAAGAAGTACCATAAGCAAAATAAAAACCCACCCTATATACTGGGGAAAAATTTGTAGCATTTTTGTATGACAAAGGGCTATATATCTTATTTTTACTGCTATAAAGTTTGCATATAAATCAATAAGAAAAAGACCACCAAATGGAAGTCAGCAAAGACATGGACAGGTTGCAGAAAAAAATCTTTATTGTTCCTTTTAAACATGACAAGATACTCAGTCTGTTTCACAAGAAAAGACAAGACTACTATGAGTTATAATTTTTACCTATCAAATTAACAGAGACTGTAAAGTTGGAAAATATGATTTGGTCAGGGGAAATAGATATTGTCGTATATTACTGGTGTGAGTGTACATTGGCACTAATGCTTTGGAAAGCATTTTGGCAATTGCTCATACTTTGCCCTAATAACATTTTTATGAATTTATTCCACAAACTTATTTGCACAATGCACTAAGAAATAAATTGCAGTATTGTCTAGAGTAGCAAAGGACTGGAAATAATCTACGTACATTGATTTAAAAATGGCCTCCAAGAATTATTAAGAAAAAGGCAAGATATGGAATAGTGCTTGCTATCCTTGAGGTCAAATGTGGCTGGAAATGGAATGATAGATGCCTACGTGCTTGCATATGAATGGAATATTCCTGGATGGATACACAGCAACTGGGTAGTGTTACCTCCTGGGAAGGGAACTGGGAATTTGGGGTGCAGAGGTGAGAGGGAGTGTTCCTTTTCCCTGGATGCCTTTGTGTAACATTGGATGTATTTACCATGTGCATGCGTTACTTAAAGACAAAACCCAAGCATTGTTAGGCTTAGGCTATGGAGGTGATGTTATAATTAACTCCTCAGGGCCTAGCGGTTATTTCTTGGGTTTGTTCTTGGAGACTTATCTGGTGCTCTTTGTATTTCCCAGGAAATTTTATTCAGCCTATGGATCTGGTCAAAAAGCTTTTGATCTGTTCAATCCAAACTTCAAGTCCACCTGTCAACGGTAAGCCATTTTATAAACCCTGGGTGAGTTATTTTTAAGAATTTAGTTACCAGCTTGAGGGGTTTTGTTGAATTGCACTAGAGAACAGTGCTCCTATAAGGAGGTCTGTTGAGGAAATCCTTCACACAGTGTAACAGCATGCCCTGACTCTCTCAGTATACAGACCTAAGATGTGACTGTTTGGAATTCCAGGTTTGTGGAGAAGTACTTGGAGCTACAGAAACTTGGAGAAACAGATGAAGAGAAATTATTTGTGGAAGCAGGGAAGGCTTTATTGGCAGAAGGTGTCATTTTAAGACGAGTAGGAGAAGCAAGGGCTGTGAGTATTGTATTATCAAAATTGTTATTAGGATTAGTTGTCTACTTGTCAGAGATTAAAGGAAGGCTTGGTTTTCTTTCCCCAACCTTGTCTCATGTTCCTGAACTCCAGGTCCAATACTGTTAGAATCTACTGGAGTTTTGTGGTTATGACTGAGACTTGGAGCAAGTGAGTTGTCATTGGGTCTTTGTGCCTTTGTAGAGATTTTTATTATCTTGTTTGTTGTTTGTAACAGAATTTGACCTGAAATATTTTAAAAAATCTTTATTGTTGAAAATACATTGCTCCCCCCGCCATTGACCTCTTCTAGCATGCCCTCACCTGAAATATGTTAAATTTTTGAGTCAGTGATAGAATGTGCCTAAATCATATACCGGTAGCTTCAGCCAAATACTTGAGTGAAAATGACATCTTTGTGACATACTTCTGTCTGGTCTTCTAAGCAACAGGACGGTAGTCACGTTTCCGGGAAATCTGAACCCACGGGTGTCAAATTGCAAACTTTGTTGGAAAAAATCCAGCCTCTGAAGGAAGTTCAACAGGATCAACCTTCGGAGACACCGGAAGAGCAGTCGAAAGGCCCCTCACCTCCCTGAAGAACTTGTATACCACACACACTGACATCCAAACTGTGTTCACTGGGTGAATATTGAACTATTTCCAATAGTTAAGCTGTGTAAATGTTTCTGGATCTCAAAGGCATTATGTTTGCTGTCTTTTAGTTCCTGTTGCTAGGTTGTCATAAAGCTCAGGTTCATGGTTTGAAAGAAGCAGTTATGTGAACTTTAGCAGTTAGGATGCTCTTCAATAAAGAATTCCTTAGCTGCTTGTAATGTAAATTTACCTTAACATTGTAAATAGCACCAGGAAACCTTTGTAAGTACTGTTTGAATGGGACTCACTCTGAGCAGGTTTGCTTGCGTTTTGGTGTTAACACGTGGCTGGCGCCCTGGCTGGTACAGTGCTGTTGGGCATCATGCTGCACATGGAAAGCTGGCAGTGTGATTCCCGGTCAGGACTCGATCCCCGGGATCCTAGGGGGTGTGCAGGAGGCAGCTGATCGATGTTTTTCTTTCATCAATGTTTCTAACTCTATCCCTCTCCCTTCCTCTCTGTAAAAAAACAATTAAAAAGAAAAAAAAAAAAGACTGAATCCAGATGGCATCTCTTGGATTGCCAAGAGGGAGCCACCAATTCAGATGATGCTCTCCACTGCCTCCCTGGTGTCGAGCCTGGCTGGTGTGGCTTGGTGGTTGAGTGTTGACTCAGGAACCTGGTTAGGGCATATGCCCGGTTTGCGGGCTAAATCCCTAGTGGGGGGGTATGCAGGAGACAGCTGATTGATGATTCTCATTATTGATGTTTGTGTTTTTTAAATATACTTTGATTTTTTACAGAGAGGAAGGTAGGGGGATAGAGAGTTAGAAACATTGATGAGAAACATCATTCAGCTGCCTCCTGCACACCCCAAAATCATTGTACTTGCTGCTATAGAACTACTTGCTGGAATCAAACCTGGGACCCTTTAGTCCCCAGGCTGACGCTCTATTAGCCAAACAGGTTAGGGCACCATTGACGTTTTTTTTTAATCTCTTCCTCTGAAAAAATAAAAAATAAGTGGCATATTGCTCTGAGATTGTCCCCTTTGCATTTGTAATCAAGCTGAGTAGGAAAAGTGGTTTTTAGCTACTGGTAATAAACTGCTTCAGAAATTTTTTATTTTAAAACTTGTGGTTTTCTACCCTGTGTTGTTTGTGTACAGTCACTTCTATCTCCTGGTACACGAAGGGTGGGGCACACATCTCAGCCTGTACACCTCCTGGCACATGGTGCTCAGATAATGGAAGGTGAGGGACTACATGAGGCAAAAGCAATTCACAGCCATGGTGCTTCTCCCGCCCCCCCTCCACACCCCCTTTCTCCAACCTTTATCTGCAAATCCTCTTGCTTTGGGAATGCTTCCTTTTAGGTGGGGCAGCACATCTCACCCATTGACAGCAGGCAGCCATTGGTTCCAATGCCGGGCCAGACCTTGGGCGGAGGACTTAGCAGGTGGAGGAGATAGTTCTCTTCAGAGAAACGGGTCACTCGTTGCTTCTTTAAACTTGATGTTTCTGGGGCTTAGGGGCAGTTCCTTATTTTTAAAATTAGCAGCAGTACCATTTGTAACAATATCAATAGGAAATGTGTAAGAACAAATCTGAGAAAAATGTACAGTGAAAAGTACAAAACATTATAAGGCAATTAAAAAAAACCAATAAAGGGCAGTTTCTTTTCCACAATATTGAAGAGTTTTAAAAGCTATTTGTTGCATACGTCTTCAAAAATTATACATGCAATGGTTCTAGATTTAAAGGCGACAAGCCAGTCTCCCTCCCCTGTCCACAAGCCACCCTTTTTTTCTCTCCCCTAAGGCCACTGCTATCACCATTTCCTTTTAAGAAATATTTTGGGCCGAGACCGGTTTGGCTCAATGGATAGAGCGTCGGCTTGGGGACTGAAGGGTCCCGGGTTCGATTCCGGTCAAGGGCATGTACCTTGGTTGCGGGCATATCCCCGGTGGGGGGTGTGCAAGAGGCAGCTGATTGATGACTCCTTCTCATCGATGTTTCTAACTCTCTCTCTCTCCCTTCCTCTCTGTACAAAATCAATAAAATATATTTAAAAAAATATATATTTTGGGCATATACATGGGGACACTGCATACTGTCCTGTACCTTGTTTTTCCACATAATATGTCTGGGAGATCCTTCGTATGGATTGATCAGTGCCCAGCTGACAAAAGCATTGTTTTCATATTCTCTTGTGCTGCAAACAGGCTGGTGTAGCCAGCGGGTGCATTCTTAGCCGCGGTGTTGCTGGGTCAAGAGATAGCTTTCCTTCAATGTTGTTATGACCCCAATGGAAACTGCTCACTTAGCCTCCCACCAGCCGTGAATGAAATGCTTACTCACCAGGACACTGTGATCTTGTTAGCCAGCCTGGGGCTCATGGGGACAGCGTGGGCCTGGTAGAAGGGGAGAGACGAAGCCTTAGCAAACCTTTTGTTGAATCCCAGTGACCAAAGCCTAGTGGAAGGTGTGGAGTCACTTGGGGAATTCAGAACTCTTCCCACTGTGGTCCTGGACTCTGTTGTTTGGAGGGAATGGAAGTGGGACCTCCTTGTCTTTAAGGAGCTTAACATCTAACTGGGAGAACCAGCGTGACTTTCAAAATAATAAGATGAATAGGAATCCTTAGAGTTATGGTACAAGAACATGGGAGAGAGTCAGGTGAGAGATCGGCCATGGGCTAGCCTGGGGACACTGCACGGAGAGCCGTGAAGGGTGGGCGAAATTTGGGGATTTGAAGTGCGTGTGTGGCTGCTTCTGTCGGGAACAACCCCTGCCACCACTGTCCTTAGAAGTCGTGCCTTCACTGCCCTTTTCAAATGGAATCTCTGCTCAGAAGTTTTACCTAATGTTCACATCACGTCTCCAGCCCCTTATTGAGCCCCTTCCAGACTGCGCTCACTGCACTGCAGCCGGCACGCCCGGCCCACTGTCTGTTCTCCTGCCCGGTTTACCAGGTCTTCATTCCAGAGACATAGCTACTCTCTCTCACTTCAGAGTGTCAACAAGGGCAGAAGTTCTTACCCACTGAGCCCACGAGGCATGGCACAGCCTCTCAGGAGTAGACCCTTCATGCGGTTTTTCTGAGCTGAAGGGCATGTGTCCCGATTAGAATGAAATTTGCACAAGACGAGGCTGAAGATCTGGGTTCTGGTTCTGGCTGCTCCGTTTTTTTACTGGTGAGGCCTCGTGCCTATCACTGTCTCTCGGGCTTCTAGTCAGAAACATGAGAATTAATGGGTATGATGAATCAAAGCCCACTTGTAAGATATGTGACAGGTGCTTTTATGACTCTCGAATAGGAGTGGAAAGCAGGTTTGACCAGGTAGGATGGGATCTGATCATGGTGGCCTCAAACTCTAAGAGGGATCCAGCTGGGTATAAGGAAGCTTGAACGAGGAAGTGCTGTCTGAAAGCAGAGTCAGGCCAAAGGAAGATTTGCCTGGATGTGATATAAAGAACGTGGCTGGGGGAATGGGCCACGAGGGTGGGAAGAGGCGGCCTTTTCTCTGAGCAGCCGTTCCAGGTGGAGGCAGAGATTCCAAGGTTATAAGCCTGAGCGGCCAGATCAGTAGCATCACTAACAAAAGGAGGGGAAGAGCTTCGATACTTAACATACTGCGTTAGAGGTGACGGAGCTGTTCCAGTGGCAAACGGTGAGATGGGTCAGGTGCTGGGAGAAGGGGCGGAAGCATTGGAGCCGGGAGAACGAGTGAGCTGTCCAAGGGGAGTGCAGAGACACAGACGTGGGGGGCTGGGCCAGGTGAGTGCTCTCAGGTAAAGGGCGGGAGGAAAGAGAAAGCCAGCGAAGGAAACGGGTCCCACATCTTCCATCACCGAAATAGCGAGGCCCGTGTAAATGGCCCTGGATTCCCCAGGTTTTAAAGAGTTCTCTTTTTGCTGGATAGCCTGACCCTTGATTTGTGTGTCCTTAAAAAGCAAGCCCAATTCTTTCTGTAATTTTGTATAATACTTAGTGTTCTCAGATAATGAAAATGTTGTTATAGAAAAAAAAAAAATCGGTGCCTCCCAGGGATTCCTAATTTGGTTAAAATGATACCTTTCTCTAAATAAATGATGGCTTGCTACTTAAAAACATTCACTGGATTCTTTTTTTAAAACAAAGTCATTCCAGTGGGATGATAAAGAGTTTCTCGGAGGCTAACACTGGTGCCTGCCTCTGCTTTTGGGGATCCCCATGAGGCACACGAGAGTGCGGGGACTCATCCACCCCTCCCAGCGCTCAGCTGTGACCAGGCCTGACTCAGAACTGGGCTGGCGGTTCTCCTGCCTGCATAGGAGCTAGGGGTGTGCGACACGATGTGGCTGCGGTAGCTAACACCAGCTGGCCTCAGCTAGAGGACGGTAGAGCTGGGAACAAGAGAAGGTGAGCCATGTAAAGGGGGTGGGGCCATTACTTTGTTCCTGGTCTCTGTGCTCCTGAACTCTGTTCCAGAACAGCCGAAAGGTGGAGGACTGAGAGGCTAGGGTAGCTGCGTGTTTTGACTCTTCGAGGGTGCTCGGCGAGATGGATGCTCTGGGCAGGTTCAGTGAGCAACTTGGTCCGGGTCACCTTGGCTGATGGAGGAAGGGCACCCGCTCTCCTGTGGAAAAGACAAGAAATGGCTTTCATGTCACTGCCAGGGTAGCGCTCAGTGTGGCAGGCGGGCCTCTGATTGGATGAGCCCAGCCCTGGAGCAGCATCTGTGGAGCCAGACAAGTGGTTATTGCCGCAGCACGAAGACGGAAAGGTTGCTAGGGGAAGGCAAAGGAGGCAGGACGCTAAGTGCTTATGTCTCCTACAAAATGCAGCAGCCACTGCCCCCTCCATCTGTGCCGATGACAGAGAGGGGATGCTCGTCGAATGCCAGCTGACAACGAAATTACATTTGGGGTCTAGTTTTGCCCTCGATGGATGCTTTTTTCCTGGGCTAGGACTTAAATGCCAGTCACCTGACCTTCTAGTGTCTCAGTTCTTTTAATTAAAAGACGCTTCTAAGCACCATCCAGGAGTGGGCTATTTATTATTTATCAAGCATTTCCCTCCCAGCAGTTAGTGAAAGGTCAGTGGCTTCAAGGGATGCTTTGTTTTTGGCGAGCAGCTCAGATGAAAGAGGTAAGACAATCAATCCCCGCTTCCCTCCTGTTTGCTCTGGGCCAGGCCACTGTGTAATCGTCACGGTGGCATTTAGGATCGCAGGCTTCTGAAACATGCAGAACAGTGCCTGTGCATCCCTTGCTACCGAAGGTTTCTCCAAAAGTAAACACCAGGTCGTGATGATGGTTAATAATGAGGTATTGACTGTTTGAAAATGTCAGGGCCTGGGCCGTCGGCCCCAGCACCACTAGATGGCGCTGCACTATCATGCTGTTCAAGGACAATTTCATTTCTTTGCCTCGGGGTACCTCGTCTTTCAAGGTTGGCGAGTGTCCTTGTAAAATAATGTTCTGGCTGAGACTTGGGAAGCTGAGGTCCTGGAGTGTGTGGGATAGGGTAGAGATGGGAGCGGTGAGGCCGCAGGACAAATGACAAAGGCCTGGGGGCTCAGGGAGGGGAACCAGCACTGTCTGCACCACAATGTGAGCTGGAGAGGAAGGAGCTAACTGTGCTGAGCCCCTGGAGACTGCCCTGAGCAGTGTTTTCTTACCTTCTCCCGGCAGTGACGCACATCTGTGAATTTGCTGTGCCGGGCAGGGCGGGAGGGAGGCAGGGCGGAGTAGTGGAAAAAACCCAGGCCTTGGAGAGAAACCCTGATGGATTGCTTTGTCTTGTGACATTAGGTGAGTGAGTGAATAACTGGAGCCTCAATTTCCTTATCTGTAAAACCGGAACACCAACGTCTACCTCATCAAGTTGTTTTATAGATTTAGTGAGAACATGAGCAAAATTCTTGGCACGAGTCAGTCTTTGCTCTCCGTGCTGGAAGGGGTTCAGCAACTGTTGATTCCCATGGGGTGGTGATGAGTGTGCATTGGATTAAAACAGAGGAGAGAGGAAAAAATGGGATCTTTCCCTTTTTTTTTTTTTTTTTTTTACTGTGTATCTTTTCAGCAGTCACTAGTTTGACCACTTATCCTTTCTCATCCTCTCCCCGCAAGTAGTTGCTCTCTCCATT